ATATTAGTTTTTTACATTATTAAATAAGAATTCGATGATTTTTGTACTTTTGTCTTCATTGAGTGCTATTCTTTTAGGTTGATGAAAAGGTAATTTGTATACTTCGAATTAAGCATTTATTGCATTAGGGTCTTTATTTACGAGGTATGCGTGGGTTAGAAAAGCGTGTCTTGATAAAATAATTTCCCGTCTTTTTTTAAAATGTTGAAGAATATCTGAATGTACCATTTTTCAATGTTTTTTTATACTCATTTTAGTTTGATGGATAGTGAGATAGAATATTGTATAGTATACAATAAATTAGTATACAGTTTTGTATTTTGCATCTATTCAAAGAAGAGAATTCAATTTATATCTGTACGCAACGATTAATTGTTGCTAACGAAAATCGATTCTGAGTGGATCTCGGTCAATTGATTTACTTTTTCAACAATCTGCATTTTCACGACAATAACAATTTTATTAAATTTATTAAAATATTGAAGTGATAAAAATTTAAAAATAACAAAAAAGAAATAAAAACGATTACAAATTAAAACCTTATTTTTAATCTTTTTATTGACTTGAAAAACTAGTGTTTCATCATTATCTCGATAATTAACGAGAATTTCTAAAAATGAATTTACTAATAAGTACCAACTAGAGCCAAAACGCAAAAAAGTCTCATGTCATGTTTATCGATTCCAAGGAGAAATTGTGTGCACAGTATGTAAAAAAAAAAAATATAAACATCATTATAAAACTGATACATTTCTGATTCAATACCCAGATAAAAAAAAAAAATGTAAACAAATATTATATATAAAACAAAATTATCGCCCGAAACGCAGCTATGAGATTTATTTTGAATAAGATTTCAACGAGTATTCAGTGTATAGTAATAGACGTGAAAATGTATTAAATATTATTAAATGAGATAATACCGAACCCCTCGAATTCGGCGGGTTTTACTTTGTAAATAAGCATTGTATATCATAGGTCTAAATAGAGACGTGTTGACGGCAGAAAATGTTGTCGAAAACGATACCTAATGAAAAAAAAAAAAAAGGTGGTCTTTTATTGTTTTTGTGACAATATATAATATCCACGGCGTAGTTCGGATGGTTTGCACGATACGATAATATGTACCTAAATAATTGCTGTACCAACGTCGGTAATAATATTGTAAAACACATTGACCGTGGGGTCAGATTTAATGAGATTTTCGTTACAATATGTATACGGGGTGATTCATTTATCATGAGCCAACGATTCGTCCATTATAGGAAGATAATTTGTGTGTAGTGATTTTGGTTTTATTATTTTTTTCTCAACAACTTCAATATCAAGTTTCAATATTTTTACCCAACCCAATTTTAACGGTTAAAAATTGTAGATTCTCTTTTAGAAATTTAATATTATTCCATAACGCGAATAACTATCTAATGTTTAATCTAACTATGTTGACGTGACGTATTTCTGGCATACAGAAAAAGAGTAAAATTCCGAAAATATCTATTATAAATGATCATTACATGCTTTCCATAATCTAATTCACCCATATAATACATGTTTGAAAATATAATACAATTTCTGGTTCGCCATAAAAGAACCACACTGTATGTATACAAGATTTCGGAAAATAATACGTACGCCTCGCGCATTCAAAATCATTGTTTCAGCTCCTTGCAGCTGGCGCGTACACCGTGACGGTTGAGTATTTTTTTTTTTTTTTAAATTGTGTTACGATTATTTAACCCGTTTCGACCGACCCAAAGGACCGCTGTCACCGAGGGTTTGGAAGCATACAATATACGTAGAAAACACAGAAAAAGGAGAGGACAGGACCTAAAGGAGAATAGCGGTTTCACGTTGGTCCTTAATACAAATGTCGTAAATGCGTTCCGAGACAATCGAATACAGGAAGAAAAAAACTAAAACAAAATACAAAATCATTTTTTACAAGAATATGGGCAAATAAAAAAAGACGGACATACTTCGCACGATAGGTGCAGCTACTGTTGTTGGTGAGAAGTTGGAAATGTAAAATACACAAAGAGAAATATAATTTATAACTTTAAGCAACGATAAACCATTGCTAACGAAAAAACGATTCTGAGTAAAGTTCAGTCGGTAGTGATGCTTTGTCAACAATATGGAGGTCGTATAATGGTAAAATAATTAAATAGGAATTAAATATTTTCCTTAATAATATTTGTTTAATGTCGTACACATTTTCCCGTTTTTCTACATTTTTCCTGGTGTTCCAGTGTTGTTTTCTAATTTTCACATCAATAATGGCATACATTTTTTGAACATTTCACCACGTCTAGAAAAGGAAAATATACATTTTCTGTCCAAATTTTAAGTCCATAGAGTCGATAATAATATTTTCAACAAAAATATTAGAATGTTTTGAAAATTTTACTATATCTAGAATAGACAAATATAAGTTTTCTCCCCGAATTTTATTTGAATTACAACAAATAACAAAATTGAAAAATAATAAAAGCATTATTTAAAATGTCTTGTTTTTCTTACGTTTTATCCTGCTTTATCCTAGATATTATGATAACCGCTTGGATAATCAAAAAATGACCTCCCAAAAGTACCATTTGAACCACATTTCATATTAGATTTGATGCCGTGCATCGGAGCAAGATTCCTGGTACAATTTTTGTACACAGTATAAAAAATAAATAAATAAACATCTTAGTAAAATTAATACACAATTCGCTACTCTCAGAATCTAAAACTAACCAGAATGCCGATAAATAGCTCAAAAATCGCTTAAATGGTTTGAAAATTCTACGTTTTTTTCGGGTTTTGCTTAATTGTCAATAAAACTACATGGAAAATTATAAAACAACTTTCCTATTAACCAACTAGATCTAAAATACTATAAAAAAAGGCCTATTGCCGTTTTTCGATTGAAGTAATATTTTTTGTAGAATAAATAATCTGTAAATATTAAAATTTTGATAGTATTAATTTTAATTTGTTCCCTGATTTCTCTCAATTATTATGAAAACTACATCAAAAATATAAACAAAAACGACTTAATCGATCCCTAATAAGATATTTTTGCAAATATTTAGATAGAAGTAATATTTCTGGTATAAAACATAGCGCGTAAAAATTAAAAACAATGAAATCAGTAACGCCGTAAATATTTACCGTTTTTCCCATCATTTTGTTTCCAATTTTACCCAATTATTTTTAAAACTACGGGGAAAATCTAAAAATAACTCCTTAAAAGCACCAAATAGATCCAAAATGCAACGAAACCAATCTTTTGTCATTTTTCGATTGGACAGGACGCCTACAAAATACCGGAAATTAGACAGCTGGACAGTTAAAGTTCAGGAATTAATGTTCTAAAATAACATATAACAAGAACACAATACATATGGAATAGAATTAAATTAAGTTTACGGAACGTAATTACGAGAAAAAAATAACAAGGAACGTAAATTTGCCGGAATTAAATAACTTTGACCATAAAAAGCCCGGAATGTAAATTTCGTTTCAATTCTATGCATATTGTTTTCTAGTTATTTACAGTCCGAGACGTGAGTTTCTGAACTGAATTAACGTTTTTTTTTTTAGTTCATTAGTCTTAATTTCCAAACCGATTACAGTCAGGGTATTTAAATTCATTTGATATTACGGCCCGCGATTTTATTTTCAATGTATTTTACTTTCTTTAAATCTATCTTTCAGTGTATTTTAATTTCTTTCAATTTGGTAACTTAGTATAGTTATGGTCCGTAATTTCAACATTCCGGTTGTTTTATATCCGGTATCTTACGGCCTCTTTAATACACTACACATCACAAGTCATAAGAAAATATATTGAAATAACATAATTGTACTTTATTTTATTTTTTTCTATCATTTCGAAATGTTGCACCAGGTGTTTTATCATTTGTCCGATTACTGTCCCGCATCTCTAAATTGCTAGCTTTATAATAATAATAACAATAATATTCGGCCATAAAAAAGTAAGTACATGTTTAAAGTAGCAATAATTTATAACAATAACACATAATTACTAAATTAAAAATAAAATTTAACTATCGAGAGTTATGGCCAATTCACCATTGAGGTATAGCTTCGTATTGGTGAAATTGGAGTCTTATCAATTTATTAACTATTTATTACTGTGTAACTATTTATATACTCGTATAGTTTCTAGTGAAAAAGAGCTTATAGGTTAGGTTAGGTTAGGTTATTAACCCGGTTAACCAGTTTTAGAAAAAATTAAGGGCTTTCTCGTTCTCGTCCCTATAAATTACAAATAATCAATGAAGTAGGCAAAAAAATGAAAAAAAAGAGATGATACTAAGGATGGAGCGATCATTGTTGTAGGTGAGAAGTGGGAGAGGTAGGATTCATAAGGTTATTCTATTTATATCTGTAAGCAACGATAAACTATTGCCTGACGAAAGACTATTCCGAGGGCAGTTTGTTAATACATAATTTGATGTGTCGTAATTTTTTTTTTGCGATTTTCGTTTGAATTCTGTTTTAAAACGCTTATTAAAAAAAAAGTCATCCGACAAATTTAGAAATTTTACCACGTTTAGGTAAGTTCAATACAAGTATTATTACAAGTTTCAAGTCTCTACGTGCATTTATAACCGAATGATAGCAAAATACTTCCAAAAATTAAAATTCCTTAAAAGCTTAAAATTAGCTCAAAAGTTTTGGGCGATGATACTATAAGAATATAAATCAAAAAAGTGTCTTGTGATTTTTCGATTCAATATTTTTTTTTGGTAAAAAACGTTGTCCATGTTTTTATAAAACAATGAAATTGTTAAATTGTACGTTTTATTACGTATTTTCCCACCTTAGTGTTTGTATTTAAAAAATGCCTTCTTTAAAATACAATCTAGACAATATGAGCTTTCAAAAAAGTTAAGGATACCTTACTACGTTCCCTCCTATTTGAAATTCCCGGGAATGCCACTATGAATGACGATTACAGATCAAACAGCAGTGGTGTGATTTAGCCAGAACCGAAAAAAAAAAAATCGGATATTATTATTTTCGTTACTGTTTTGTTATGGTTGTATAGTAACCGAGCATACCGAAATACACAATCCGACTTATTACAAACTCGAATGCAAAACGGATATATTGTATAATATTTTTATAATATTTTTTCGTACTTGCTTGTTCATTGTTTAACTGTTTCGTCAAAATGCAAAACAGTAGTGGAGTTTCAGAACTGAAAATGAGCAGCGAGGATTCCAGAGCCGTTGAAATGGCCAAGCGAGACTCGTTGACAATTACAAAGTATGCAGCTCACATAGGATTCAGTTTCGCCGAACGTTACTACACAGTAATGCGTACTACCCCAGAGTACGCGAACGAATTCTATGATGAGCATGGCGAATACCAAACTATCTACGAGAATGGCTCGGCCGTCGTCGCAAGAAACCGGTCAGAGGTAAAACGTATTTTAATTCAGCCCGTGTCCGCGACACATTTAATCGTCAACTCCATTGTTTCGGTTCCCTGTGGTGGAACTTTTGATCGTCTACTAGTCACCGTCACAGGTAAGCGGTTCGTTCACGTTTTTGTAGCGGAATACCGCCCAGAGCGAATGTTAGGTTATGTTATTGTGGGATCTCTATTTCGGTATGTTTCTGCCGAACCTGCAGCCCCTGATCAAACGACTACTGGAACGAAATGCGCTACAGCTGTTTGTCATCCAGTCACTGGTGTCAATCATACACCGAGTGCAAGCTTAAAAGCAAAGACACCCGTTAACTTTTCGCCAAACTTAGTTGAGCACAACAAACCACTCCCCGATACCATTACCGATTACGCACCGACCGCAGGTTTTAAAGCAACTCAAAAAATAAGATGTTCACCAAATGTAGCCGTCTATCACAAACCGCTTTCCGATACTGCTATCGATGACATACCGACCGCAAGTTTCAAAGAAACTCAAAAAATAAGATGTCCACCAAATGTAGCCATCTATCACAAGCCGCTTCCCGATACCATTACCGATTACGCACCGACCGCAGGTTTTAAAGCAACTCAAAAAATAAGATGTTCATCAAATGTAGCCATCTATCACAAACCGCTTCCCGATACTGCTATCGATGATATACCGACCAGAGGTTTTAACGCAACTCAAAAAATAAGATGTCCACCAAATGTAGCCATCTATCACAAACCGCTTCCGGATACTGCTATCGATGACATACCGACCGCAGGTTTCAACGCTACTCAAAAAATAAGATGTTCACCAAATGGAGCCATCTATCACAAACCTCATCCCAATACTGTTATCGATGACAAATCGACCGCAGGTTTCAACGCAACTCAAAAAATAAGATGTTCACCAAATAGAGCCATTTATCACAAACCGCTTCTCGATACTGCTATCAATGACATACCGACGGCAAGTTTCAAAGAAACTCAAAAAATAAGATGTCCACCAAATGTAGCCATCTATCACAAACCGCTTCCGGATACTGCTATCGATGACATACCGACCGCAGGTTTCAACGCAACTCAAAAAATAAGATGTTCACCAAATGGAGCCATCTATCACAAACCGCTTCCCGAAACTAACAGCACGAAAACAGTTATTGCTAAAGAAAAGTCGCTCATCAGTATCTTAAAACGCATACCACCTCCTCCCAAAATAGCAACTTTCCACGAACCCTCATCTTGGAATACCGGTACTGGTAATACACATCCACATCACACTACCAGAAACCGATCACCTATTAGAATCTCAAACCACGTACCCAATCCTGCCACTTTCGGTCAACAATTTCCGATTTCTTTTAATCACCAAGTTCCCTTAGGTGTATTTCAGCCAATAGGAAATGTACCTCTACATACAAGGTTACCGTATGCAGCTCCGAATTTTCCACTTACCATCAATGGTGAGCCGCACCAACAATGGGCGGGCACCCAATTTCAGCACCAAATATTCCATTTACCATCAGAAGTTGGTCACACTAACAACTGATGAATACCGACACAATTATTTCGATTTGAATAATTAGATTCGGTATATCCTCGGTTTATCGAATCACTAATAAAATTTAAGTTAATATGTATATTTCAATTTTCTCTAAGTATACCAATCTTCGTTCAGTTTGACTTTTATTTTGTTGTGTTTCTGCTTGTCGATCGTAGATTTTCCATTCTTCTTCATAAGTCGGTTTTGTCTACGTATTTTTTTTTTCGGGTCGTCTTGTTGTTCGTTGGGTTAGTAACATGTAATATATTCGGTAATTATCCATTTCTCCTGCTACGCGCGACTCCGCGAGTGCAATTAACGCACGCAGTCGTAGCCCATTCGCCGGAAGAACGGGCGCTCCAATGCCGCCCGTTAACGCACGTTAGAATCAACTACGCAGAGCCCGTCACGATGCTGGAACACCGATCACGAAAGGCACGGTCGTACAAAACTGTCGCCGTGCCTGTGTGCCTAAACGTCAAGGCAGTCTATTTGCGATTAGTGTCCAGTCCTATCAACGGCAGCGTTCCTCGGTGCCTTCGATCGGTTCGTCACCTGTCGCGGGCTCACGACCGACGTCTGAACTACGGGGACCAATTTCAACGACGTCGACCGGCGGTTCCGTCTACTGCGAATAGCACCACGGCGCCGGCCGTTATTCCCGTCGCCGACAGGTCGTCAGGTAAGTGGCACTTAAACCTTCCCAGCGCTCCGTCGAAATCCGGAGCGCTGGGATTTCTTTATTATTCACCACTCATCACGTGTCACGAATTATACTTGTACCACTATCAATTTTTTTTTTTTACCAATCGGTAAGTTATCCATCCATCATTTGTGTTTTTCCGAAACGTCCAACCTTTTTTTGTCCAATTTCAACGTGTCTCGTACTCTTTATGCGTACATTTAAAAAAAGCTACGTTCTTTAGGTAGAACGAACAAAAATAATTTAAAATCAGTCAATAAAATATGAAACCAAGTGTTTTAAATCAAATTGTACTACTTTTTTATCGATTTGAAAATCACTTTGAAATTGTGTACCGTCGTTGTATTAATTGTCAATACTTCTATACTCGCGTGTATTTTAAAAAACGTTTTTAATGCGCCCGAACACATAAATATTTATATATTAACCGTTACAAAGATAAATACATTCGCACAAACAACACTGGTGGTAAAATAAATTATTATGGGCCCGTTTCGAGTGCATTCTGTAAAACGTGAAACTAAAGTATAAGTATAGCAAAGCACACGGGAGGGCGGTAATTTAGTTTTGATGAACGACGAAGCAACGGATTTAACACAGGCATTTTGTGTTTGTATTCGCTTCTCCTATAAACTTAAACAATCTGTAACTTTATAATTTAATATTCTTTTACTGTACATAATACATATACTTTATAAAGCGGATCTTCCCAATTGCATGGTGTAGTTCAATTTTTATGTTTTTTTCTTTTACTTTATGGAATCATTTATTTCAAAATTTTACATTTTCATTATTTTTATCCTTATTTTTATGTGTGAAATAAAAACCTTTATAAAAAAAAAAAAAAAAAACCATAAAATTATGAAATTTAAGTTGAATTACATTTTGATATTGGCATTTTTTTATTTCCATCAAGTTGTTGACGATATCATACGATTTTTAAGTTTGAGTAAGGGAGTAGAATTAGTAGTAAAGTATCATTTTCTTGACTTAAATGTGTTTTATAAATCTTGCTCCAATATATCATGTTCTATGAACTTCATGGAGGGTTTCCTAAAAGTTTTGACAGATTTAGTTAGTTCTCACGAACATCACTTCATTTTCGGCAAAAATAGTTCTATGAAATTTTTCCCACTTGAAACTATTAAAAACCGCTAAATATAAAACCTGCTACCTATTCCTGTACTATGCAGCTTCTCTCCTCTGCATTTCTAGTTACTATTTTTAAATGTTCATTAAAACATAATCTCCGTAGCTTTATCCTAATAACAACGTTTTTTTGAGTCACTACTGAGTCTACTAGATCATTGTTCACGCTAGGCATTTGACTAGGCAAATTACTTGGATACGTAAGTCTTTTTTTTATTATAACGATTTTTCTACCTATAATGAGCCTTGAGAACTGAATTTAAAGTTCTTAATCGTACAATTTACTCTTTTTATTGATTTGGAGATTTTGGACATTAAAGATTAGGCCATATTATGTTTTTCTGGAAACTATCCTCTCAAAAATCACTTATTTTAGTTCTTTGGGTTTTTCAATAATCTAGTACCGGTAACATACAAAACAATTATTGGTTTTTATAATTTATTATATATTTTATTAATAGTTCTTTGGACGAGGTTCTTGTTGTTTACAATTCATATTGAAACAATATAATAACGAAAAAGATAGACATATTTCGAACGTGGGTACAATCAGTGTTCTGGGTGGAAAGCTGGGAAAGAAAACAATTGCAAACGAAAAAAAACGATTCTGAGCGGAATTCAGTTCATAGTGATGCTTTGTTAACAATATATAATCATATTTTGGTTAATTAATTGCACAAACATTAAATATTTACTTTCATAATATTTATTTAATTAGATAGCTATTTTCTTGTTCTCTCATTTTCTCACAGTTATTTTCTGGTTTTTCCTACATATTGAGAAAATTCCTGAGAAAATCAAAATATAACCTACTTAAAGAGTACCATCCCAGTCAGATTTCCTTTCACGAAAATTGCTACATTTGTAAATTGGAGCAATATTTGTAGTAGAAAATTTGTTCACATATATAAAAAAAAATAACAATAAATACACATTGTTATACCATAAGCTTCTTTGCTCCACTCAGAATCTAAAAATCTTTGAAAATTTATTCAGACACGTAAATTAGAAATTACGTATTATTAATTTTTTGATTAGGTTTCAAGAGGATCACAAAGTTCTAAAATCCTAAGGTATTCTGTACTGTTATTTAAAACTCAAGAAACGTGAATTTAATAAATAATTAAAAGTAGAGTTTTGAGTTTAATTTTCTTTTTTTTTTTTAGCCTTTTGAAAAAAAAAAAAGAAGAATTTCTTTACTTAATACGATCTGTTATCGATTAAATATTTACAAAGTCTCTAAGTGAAGATTACTGATGACACGTTTTTTAGACTTTAATAAGAATATTGCGTTGAAACTATATTAAATTAACAAAATATATGAAACTATTTTTAAAAAAATTTAAAGTACAGAATAAAAGAATTAAAAAATTAACATATTTTTAGATATGTTATCTCAAAATTAAAACTTCAAAATTTCGTTGTTTGTGATTTAAAATAAACCAGGGAAAGATTTCATTTGGTCGGAATATGAACCAAAACAGCCCATGAATCACAAATTATCGGTAATAATACATAGAAAGTACCGAATACATATACGTCATGAAAATAATACCTGTAAACTTCCATCCTTCCTCTACGTTTATCAACCAAATCAATATATCATTCAATAAAGTATAATTGTGTAAAATTATCAACAGATAGTTAGGAAAGTTTAAATAAAATTCTAATGATAATTTTGGGAGTTTTGATAGATCTTATAGAAATATCTAATCATATATTATTATTTTTAACATCTTAGGTAGGTTTTTAAAAATAAAAATAAGAATAAATAATAATAATGTATTTACAGTCTATTAAAAATAAATCTATTTTAAACAAAGTTCAAAGATCATGTTTATTTATAATAGACATAAAATACCTATTATTATCGATATTTTTTAGATTCAAATCTGTTGGCTTTAATAATGTGCGTTCGCTGAACAATAGAAAGTCTCAAAAAAAGTTTCATTTTAATAGTTGAGGAATTTTTCTGATTGACAATGATATTTTAGATAAAGCCGATTTCTTCTTCAGCTCGACGCAGGAACGACCGAAAATCAAAGTTTTTTTAATAGTAAAGTGTTTACATTTTAATTCAGTACATTACTCGTAATAATTTTTTTTTAAATTAATTATTTTTTTTTTTATATTCATAAATAACGCTTTAAACTAGCACCCCTGTGGACTGTATACAATATAGCGGTACACCCGTCGAGCAGACTATGCCCAATGTTTTTTTTTTTTAATAAAACCACGCAAATAATATTACTGTCAAGATTTATTACGACTGTAACGGTGAAGAATTTAAAAAATAAAACCCATATTTTTTCATTAACACTAGAGTATTTAAATATTCTATTTGAGGGAACAGTAGGTATATATACCGAATATGAAAACTTTCTACTGTGAATTGCATTCATAATATATGTAATGAGAAATATTGTTTTTGAATGCTTTTAAACCCTAGTATAATATAATTTAGTATTTAATGGCCAAACTATACACGATTGATAAAAAAAAAAAAAGTTTTAACCCTTTAAAACGTTAAAATTTTACTCAAAGTAATTTAAACTCCGAAAATTAAAAACGATGTAACTTCGAAAAAACAGAAAAATTAATTGAAATCGTCAAACGACATAAATATATAATGAATAACTTATGTATTTTTTTTTCTAAATACAAAATTATTTATATTAACATTATAGCCACTAACAAAATGATAATTTTTTAAAAGTTTCAATTATTTTTAAGAAATTTAAATTTTAAAACTATTTTATAATTACCATACCCTACCTTAATCCTTGATCCAATTTTCGACTTAAATATAATTAATTTTAAAATCGTTAAATTCTGGTCAATATATATATGACTATTTAGTTTGTCATATACAAATAGGAAAATAAACTAAAGAAATTTGGTACAATTTGTGCCAAAAAATGAACACATACGACTCCGAATTTAATTCGAAATGATATAAATATGATAATGATATAAATATATTTGAATCGATAAAAAGAAAAAAAACGACATTACTTATCATAATAATAAAATAGCTGATACTGGAGACGGGTACAGTTACTGTTGTAAGTGAAATGGGTGCAATGCATAAAGTTATTTAATTTATAATTGTACTCGAAGATAAACCATTTCTAACGGGAAATGATTCAAAGGGAACGTCGCTAAGACATATTTTGAAATGCCGTAATTTTTACGATTTTCGTCAAAATTTGATCTTAAAACGCTCATGAAAACAAAAAAAAACTAATACTTTTAACACTTAATTTGTATTTTAGACCACTAAGTAAAACGTATAATATAGGTACCTTATGTTAAATTGTCAAGCATTTCTCTTAAGTCATATAATTTTAATAACAATACTTAAAATAAAAATACTAAAATATCAAATACCTATAAATAGCTTAAAAACAACTAGTATGTTATCACGATTTTAAAAAGCCAATATAAGTATTTTGTTTTTAAAAAACTACAGATCTTTACAATAATTTATTACTGAATAATAACAAATACCTAAATGCCACACACTTTGCCGATTTTCATAATTATTAGGAAAACTATACAAAATATCAAACAATGACTCTTTATTAATGCATCGACTAGAAAAATTTCCTTTCAGAGAAGGTACTCTATATATCTATAATCTATAGTATACTCTATATATCGGAGCGAGATTTCTGGTGAAAAATTTGTTTACAGACAGACGAAAAAATACACATCATAGTAAAACCAATAGACACAACAAAACGATTCAAACAAGCATATGATAATATTTCAGGAATATACAGTTTTTTAAATTACGAATAATAATAATTGCTTATACAAGATATTTTGATAACTAAAATATTAAACAGTTTTTTTCAGTGTACTTATAAACAGTTTGCCACCAAATCCGACCAATTGTTTTTCGTGACGAATAAATAAACAATAATTTCAAAATAAATATCAATTTTTAGAATCGCTAGTTATACGCTGTATAAACATTATTTACACGTCAAAATTTCTATTAAAAAAAATAAACGTACATTCAAATAATTGATACCTTTCGAATTTCAGATAATCTTATTTTAAACTTAAAAAAAAAAAAAACAATAATGATAAATATATAGATAGTAGTAATTACCTATACTCCGGTATTCGGTATTTGACTACTTATAATCTAACCAACTATAAACGGTAGAAAACGGAATTATAATTTGGCGATTTTCCCGATTCGCGTGCGCTCTCGCTCTCCATCCGGGGCCATTAAACTACTTAGATATCTCCAGCGGTCTCTTGGGGGAGAACGAAATCCGGAGAGGAATGGGTTTATAAGTACTGGAACGGAGCCCGCGATTCATGAATACTCAGTCCATTTCGCGCCAAATGACACTACACCGGTTCCGTTTTAGAAATCGGAAAGGTAGAAATAATACGAGCGTGGCTTTATCTTTTATGTTATACTTACATAATAAAAAAATATCGGTTATCTTTTCCGACACTTCAGTGCAACGCGGAAAATCATTGCTATCGTTTCATTTACCTGTCTTATAACAATTAATTCTCGTTGTACTGTAAACGATACAATAATTTACTTATATAGTTTTTATTTATAACGAGATCACATCATACGCGCGGTTATCGTCGCGTATCCATACATACAATAATAAAATCTTGTTTACTGTCTGGTCTCGTATCCTTCCTTTTCTATAATAACTGTGTGTAATACGCTCTATGCACGGATATATTATTTTATATTAAAGGTCCCGAACGCGAAACCTTTAAGAATTCCGAATCCCTTGAGAAAATCGTATACTAATACTATTCGTCGGTGTTTACTATGTTATACATTTAACGTTCCGCTGCACTATATAAAACTGTTAGTGGTATTAGAATTTTATTAATTTTCTGCAGTATTACAGCGCGTTTGTATAATACGCGAATTCGACAATACCATTTGCAATGTTTAATTTACGAGGGAGGGAGGGAGAGGGGAACCACGTAGGTTTACCGTAATAAAAACCGCGTATTATATTAAATAAACTGTCACTCGGTTACGATCGTAAAGGCCAATTCAAATATTATTTATATTTATGTACGTAAAAGCAAAAATACCATCCGAAATATTATTTTTGAATATATATACTAAGTAATGAGGAACTTATGTAATAATAATATATGTATTAATATAATAATAAAATATGATATTATTATTCGTGTTTTATTGCGAGTGCGTTTATAATGAAAAATTATTCCCGAACGGATCTCTGGCGGTGCTGAGGTTTGTTTTCATGAGTTTTTTACCATAGTTATAAATTATATCGAACTAAACAGAAAAAACAATATTGATTTACACATAATAAATGCATAATTTTGTTTGGTCGGAATCAAAACTTTTTATCTGTCGGTAAGTTTGATTTATCCTGAGCGCAGCAAGGAATGCATAGGTTTCGCAACGATGAGTGTTTTAATTTTTGATTTTCTCTCTATAAATAGTTTTTCCTCTTACAATAATGCTTCGGTTTTCAAGTAAAGTAACTTTGTGGGTTAGGAAATTTTTTTTCTTGATTTCTCTTGCAGTTATTTTCTTAATAATTGGGGAAAGAAACGGCAAAGTTTACGGAATAACGATTACATTAATTTCAATTTTATTTTATTTTTTTGGAATTTTTTTAAAAATAATTGTGAAAAAATGACAAAACATAAATATGTTATTCATAAACTTTTAATATCAAATTTTTACGAAAATCACGATGTTTCAAAATAATATTATGTACATTGTATAATCGAAGTACGTTCAGAATCGTATTTCGTCAGCAATGATTTATCGTTGCGATATGAATTTAATAAATGTACGTATCCTACCTCCTCGAATTACTATTCAAAACAGTAGCACACCCACCATTGGCAGTATCAGCTTTTTTTTTTCTGAAGGGACAACTTTTCTACCATATATATTCTTCGATTTTCAAGTGTATTACATTTCGTTTAAATTGTTCAGCTCCAACAAATATAACAATAATATTTCTATTGCCTACTCAAAATAAAAAAAAAATTTAAAAATTTGTTTTTACAGCTCGACAGAAATATTCATTATTTGTCGTGCAAGATGACGCTAACGAGATCGATAAAAAAGAATCGGATCCACTCAATTCACAGGCGACCATTGACAGCATTACACAATCCGTCTAATAGCTCCGAACTAAACGGCGCTATTGTTTCTTGAATATTATCAAAATTACATAATTATTTTAATTGAATTGCTTCAACGAGATTATTAAGCGAGTAACTATTATACACAAAACTATTTTATCGTGTATAGTTATCAAAATATTAATCGTGTAATTATTATTTTTAGCCCGCCCACCAGGACAGTAAACCATTTATCACACGGTGAACATTGTTACTGGCGGGAAAATTTGGCCAAAGCAAATTGTTTTAGAGAAAATTATAACAGACTGAGAATTTATTCAGCTGTTCCTAGATTGTGCTGGAGAGTATACTTTTTATAATCCTAGTATCAGAAGATTATATTATGTGAACGTCTAGTTAAACCACAAACGCCGCAAGGGTTCAAGAGAACGTTTTCATTTTTATAATTATTTATTATCGTATTTAGATTAATATTGTCCGATTATCTAAATATATATGTTAAATGAAAACGGCATTTATCTGGTTAAAAATTGTTAGATTCAATAGAATGTTTGAAAATTTAACATCAGTTTTATTTAAGCCATACTTAGAATTAAGTACGATGAATTAATTGGTATTTTTTTTTTTATAACAATTTTAATATCAAATTTTGACGAAAATCGTAATGTGGCCCTTAAAAACGTAGAGGTATAATCGAATTGTTTTTCGTTAGCAAAAGTTTATCGTTTCTTACAGATTAATAAAATATAGGTAAATATAGATAAATTAAATAAATTTATTTTCCATACTTCACACCTACATATAAAATACCCACCCACCAGTATCAGCTATTTTGTTTATAAATTGTTATTATTATTATTATTTTTTTTTTTTTAAATGACTTACATTTTTTCGTGTGTAGTATCAAGACTTAAGTAACATTATATGATTACTATAGACAAATATTTGAAAATACTACCAGCGAGAGGTTGCATGAACCAGCGATTCACCATTGCTTTGACTATGTTGTCAGTTAATTTTGATTGTCACGAACAAGGAAAAGTACACTTTTTAAACGATTATTGGCCTACGACGGTAAACTGTGATAGGGTTCGGGCTAGAAACTGGGATAAACGTTTTTTTTTCGTTCGTCAACTAAACATAACGGATTCAGAGAACAAAAATTCTTATCATTGAAATTATTTATCAATTTTTTTTACTCTGATGTCGGTACAGTCACGGTATCTATGCGTTCATCATCGTAGTTGTATGTAATATTTTTAAATAAAATGTGTTATTTTTTCGACCATGGCCGTCGACCGAACACCTTTTATATATTATGCATAATAGAAACGCGCAGCGAATTGCATTAATATTATAATAGAACGCAAAGATGAATTACCTGCTGAACAGTTCGATGTTGAAAAACACGTATTCCCCGCTATCGATCATGTTGAGTTCTTCGGCGGCCAACAGTATTTCTCTGACCATTGACGGATCTGCGCACAACACAATGACTGAAACAGAAGAAAGTACTGAAATATCATAATGATTGAAAATCCGCTTCCGGATGGGAACGGTCGGTAAGTATAATAAACGTGGATATAGATTTTAGATATTAGATATAAGTTTAAAATGAAATGCTGTTGTCAAGAGGATATTCTGCTGCGTGTTATAAACATTTAAATAAATATCAATGTTTATATTTATAATATTTATAATTTTTTTTTATATAAATATTTTGATTTAGTTTTTGATTCTGAGGTAAAATGGAATAAGCATAAAAATATAATTGATAATATTTTACGCGAATTCTTCTATACATTTAAAGATGCTATAAATGTATTTTTAGTAACTATAAGATAATTATCTATTTAGCTCTTAGCACAATCTTTACTTTTTTTATGATATGTCAACTTGAAAAGGAATTTTTAATAATCATTTAAAAAGACTATGATATATTGTATCATGATGTATTTTTAAATTCAACTATTTTAATTAGCGCTGCTTTAATATTATGTAAGGCACAAAATGTAAACAATTTTAATTGTTTTTATAATTTCTCTGTTTTGATACATGTTTCCTATTTTCGATCATGAACATAAAACCAGGTTTAAACGAAATATCGAAATACGTTTACATATTTATACTAATATTTTTAGACAAAATGTGTATTTATATATAAATCTAAATTTATTGTTTCATTAAATTTAAATGTATTTAATTTCAATATTATAATTACTTTTAAGAAATACATTTGGATTTAGCTTGTATTTTACTGTAGTTTTATAAAATGTCACTCATAGTTAATTTAATTGTTTTGATTAATCTCTAAATATCGTCTCTTAATACTATTTTAAAATTGATTTTTATCAGAATTTTATTTTTTGTTATATTTTAACTTTACTTTATAACTTTAAGAACTGCTCCCCATCACGATAGCTTTGGTAATCGGGGTGCTACGATCTTTTATACTAATATATTTGATCTAACGTCAACGTAAAACTGTTGATGTGAAATTAACTATTCATTATAATTATTTTGTCGTAATACTTTCAGGTAAATTTCGGTTTGGCGAAATTTGCGAATTACCTGCATAAAATACTATATTCATATACTTGTAAAAAAAAAATAAAACTTGTTTTTTGTTGTAATATTCGTTTATAATTATTACACACCCACTCTATGATGTTATTAAAAAAACATTTATTATTAAAATATTTTTTTCTATAGCATTACAAATAGCACTGTGTGTGACATGCACGCGTTTTCACGTTGTAACCTAAACGTCTATAGTCTATCTGTATATAATATATATTTACCTATAAGCTGAGTATGACTGCCAAATGTTATGTAATTAGTATTTGTCGGACAATGTCCTTTATTATATATGAACATCGGTCAAAATATAAAATTCTCTTTACTACAGGTAATTTTTAAATACAAAAAAAATATATTATACATAATATATATTTCATACATTTTTTTTTTCATTTTTTTCATGATTTTAACTATTTTATTTTCTTTTTTCTGTGCAGCCATTCACAGTACAGATAGAAACGTCTTATCTTCTTTTCTACTAGCTTGACAGCTATTCAAGATCCTTAGCTCTCGACACAAGTTCCGTCTGTCTCGCGATGTCTAATACGCATTATTCTCAGTCAATAGTACCTATTTTCCCTATCCCTTGAACTTGAATTACAACCACCAAGCGGCGTGACACTGACTTGTCGCACAATAATATAATAACAATATTGGGTGATACATTTAAGTGGGTACATTCATTATTTCGGAAAGTATTAATTTTTTTTCGGAATTTGTATTTCATCGCATGTATTGCCTTAATAACACGTCACACGCCATACTGCCACAAAAATGGCACTCCATTACTCTCCTCCAACCTAAAATTAGAAGTGGAATATCTCGTCAACGGCTTGACAGAAATAAAAAATTTCAACACTCCAATTTATTTTAACAAATACTCCATGTATTAATGTAATTTTTAATATAAGTTGCCATTTGAAAATTAAATGTAAGTAGTGGTTTTACTCCTAAAAATAAGAGTTACAAAAAATAACATAATTATATAATTGTAGAGCTGGTTGTTTCTTAAATGTTCTGAAAAACAAATTCCAAAAAAATTAATAATTTCAGAGATAATGAGTGTACCTACGTAAATGAATCATCCGGTATACAGATTTAATGATATCTGAAAAAAAAACCGTCACGACCATTGTTTCCGTTGCATGATCGATACCAAAGTGACGGTACGAGTTTTTCCTACTGCCATTGCAGTACATTTTATAATGCATTTTCGTACGCGTAATTTTTAAGTTTCCGGCCTCACAAAACCCGGATCAGACGAGAGTTAACCTACTTCTGTCAATCCTCGTTGCTACAGAAGCAGCCTTTAAAAATCACGTAGGGGATAAACGAAACCCGCTGACGATGACAGCTTGGGAGTCAAGAGGATTTTCACATCGCTCGTACGCGAGGTGCTTTATAGGAAAACTCTGTTCTGACAAAATCAGAGGCACTTTAACGGCCTGCATTATTGTTATATAATATATTAAATAATATTAAATATACTATACGCACCCATAACTATCGAAACTGATTGTTTAAAATTCGCTTAACACTATATAAATACAGGGTGTCTCACTGTGTTCGACAGATTTCTTATATTTCTGTTATTGTTAGATATTTTCATTCTAATTTTTTTACATAAAGACATATAAGAAAATTACATTTTTCTTATTATCACTTAACCACTAGAGAAAAAAAATAAATTTTGTTTATTCACTTTTCAAAATAGCTAATTTTTAATGAATATTATTTTAAAACTTTTATCTAACTTACCTACATATTAAACGAATAGTTTTTTAGTAATAACAGTTTTAATTTCTACAGAAGAGGTATGAAATGGCCTCCCACATTACGCGATAAAGAACCAAAAGTCGTAATACATGGAAATAAAACTGTCAACTGATAATAATTTATACTAAAAGAGGATTTTTATTTTATTTTGTACCTATTTTAAATTATTTATTGTGTTTAAAATTTAACATTTTAGAATAGTAATAACAACTATTGCTATAAGAAATTTTTGATTAAATATTATTGTATGGTACATTAAAATGTTAAGAACAATATACTTCACAAAATGTCTATTTTGAAATTTTTTTTATAATAAAATAATAAAGTAAAAACAAAATTTTTAAAATGGTTATGAGTATAAATTTGAGTATAATTTTACATTTACGAGTGTAAATGAAATTTTTTTATTCTGAACAAATCTTTTTATGAATTTCATATCTCTAGATGTTCGTCTACATAATATATTTTTTTCTTATAACGCGTTTCATTTTTGGTGATTGTATAAAAGTCACGTGTCTATTTCGTTATTAAACGAATTGGTGATTAGTAATTTAACTCTCACATTTCTATACATTCTACATTCTCAACTTCCCGTATACATCAGTGGCACACTCGTCAGAAGTATCGGCCCTTTTTTTTATTTTGTGTTAATTATTGTAAAAATCGCAAATTTTTATCGGTTTGAATATAATTAAAGAGCACCTTCACTATTCACAAAAATATAGCTATTATATTTTATTTTCGTTAAATTAATTTATTTTTGAATGAAACGCGTTAAAGTCGACGTGTTGATAGACAAAAAAAAAATACAATAATCCGATCTGTATATATATAAACGTGTAAGACACATTGACGAAATAATCGTTTTAGACATCTCTGGCTAGTCTGATGAATTATGTTGTACACAGAGCGCAAGCGATTTATAATCAAACTGCAACAGTTTCCCAAAAATATTATATTATTTTGACACATCGCCAAACTTCAATAATACTTAAGAAATATATCTGCAACTTAAATATTATTATTTGATATCAATTTTTCAAATTAATTATCCGATTAAGTAGGTATTCTAAACTGA